CATGTTGGCCGCATGTAAGGCGAACGCCCTACCCGCTGTGCTATCGCTGGTGAGAGTAAATCTTATTATCTGACAATGCTAGAGAAAAATCAGCAGGACTCTGGTAAGAACCTCCCTCTTCCCTAAATAATCTTCGGTTTAGCAGGCTTTTTTTTTTCTTGTTTGTGTGAGTATGGGTCCACTGAATGGGAGCCATGTCCATTCTGACATCTGTCTAGCTGTGCTCCTGAAGCAGAACCATCTGGAACATGGTCATTTGTCCTTGTGGGGGAATCTGAGGGTGACAGATCATGCACTGAGACTTTCAATTGCCAACCAGGAACAACCTCTGGTCATATTTCTTGTTGAAGACACATGGTAATCCAAAGTACAAGGGACCAAAAAATGTAAACTTGTGTAGGAAAAGAATGAGAAATGCTTTTAAAAAAAGAATGGGAAATACTTAGAAATCAAATGCTTCACGATTGCCTTTTTTTTGTTTACTTTTGATTTTGAGCTACTCCTGGTTCTGTGCTCAGGGCCCATTCTTGACGGTGCTTGAGACTAACCAAGGTCAGCTGCATGAAAGGCAAACAACTCAACCACTAGGTCCACTGCTCTGTACTTTTCAGTTTTGATTTTTCAATAAATTATTTTTAATTTTCTATGTAGATAACTATAGACAAATTTCTCGGTAATAATTTTTTGGATGGCCATATATGTCTTTTTATTTGGGAGGGGGAGTTTACTTCTGGCTCTGCACTCAGGGATCCTGGTATACCTCTGGTGACCATACGTGGTGCCAGGAGTGATCAGCTACGTACAAGACAAGAGTCTTTCCTGCTGCACTATTACTTCGGTCCTATAAAGTAAGTAAAAGTAAAGGCCCTCCCGTTGATCATCGATTTGCTCGAGCGGGCCCAGTAACGTCTCCATTGGAGACTTTGTTGTTACTGTGTCTGGCATATCGAATACTCTCGGTAGCTTGCCGGGCTCTCCGAGAGGGGCGGAGGAATCGAACTCGGGTCGGCCATGTTGGCCGCTTGTAAGGCGAACGCCCTACCCGCTGTGCTATCGCTCCAGCCTATACTTCAGTCCTATAAGCATACATTTAAGTGATTCGAAGGAAGAATGTTTTGTCTTTCTTTTCAGGACCTGTGTGATCCCACTTCCCTAGTTACGGGGGTCATCCAAAATGCTCAAGTCGAAGTAGTTTCATAAGCAGCACTTTCATCTAATTTCAATCTCAAAGGAAACATTTTTAGCATTCACTGTAATCATGGCTTTTTAGACTCTTCTTGGGGTGGATTTTTAAACATCGGATTAAGGATGTCCTCTTCAACTTTCCTCACTAACAGATTTGGGATCTCATATGACTTTTTTTGCATGTAGAGAGGACAGATACTTGTCTCCATTTTAATTGACTAATACGGTAAATTCCACTCATCAGAGACAATGGTGCCAAGTTAAAGTGACAGTGATCAGAACTCAGCACAAATAGTGGTCAGCGGTCATCAGCTCTGCCCAAGGAGGAAAAGGCACCGGTGGCTTCAGGATCGAGTAGGGGTTGGGAGGGAGGGCAGAACCCGTAAGTGGAGGAGAGGAGAGAGAGTCCAGCAAGACCCAGGCCTATCTGCCTTGTGAGCTGGGGGAGAAGGCAGCTGGGATAGAGAAGGGATCACTGAGTCTACGATGATTGGAGGGATCACTCGGGATGGGAGATGTGTGCTGAAAGTCGTTAAAGGACAAAACATGATGGCCTTTCAATATCTGTATTGCAAAATATAATGGGCTAAATAGAGAGAGAGTTTGGGGGAAATTGTCTGCTGTAGAGGAAGGGGGAAGGCTGGGATGGGGGGACACTGGGGACATTGGTGGTGGAGAATTTGCACTGGTGGAGGGATGGGTGTCCAATCACTGTGTGGCTGAAACTCAAACATGAAAGCTTTGTAACTGTATCTCAGGGTGATTCAATTAAAAAAAAAAGACTCAGGCCTGGCAAAGAACTGAGCTGGTGGGCACATGCCTTTCAGATGTCATTCACCCCTGAGTCACCATTAAACACACCCCTCTTTGTGTGACAACCATGATTCCCACAGACGGGTCCTAAAAACTGCCTTTCCACCTGCGAGTCCAGTGACAGGACCAGAGACCATCGGCAGCGTTTCCCTGCTCTCAGCCAAGCCGACCTGGGGACGGTCTTTTATCCCTTTTCTCTTCTCTTGGTATTTTCCATGGATGCAGTTTCCGTGGATACTGAGCTTTCCAAGTTCAGGTTTTTTTTTTTTTTAAATTGAATCACTGTGAATTACAAGGTTAATTGTGATTGTTTCAGGTTGACAGTGTTTCAATGGCAGTCTCTTGCCCTCACCACTGTCCCTAGTTCCCTGTGGCAGCACTCTGTACCTCCTTACAGCACTTTGTTCTCCAGAGACCACTTTCCTGCACCAACGTGGGGTTATACCATTCTCTGACCTAACGCCCCACCTCCACCCCCAACCCCAGGGGCAATCTTCCTATCTTCCTACTGGAAATCAGTTCTCTTGCCCTTTATTTCTATTGCCTGAGCATTTTATTACCCTGTTATTATTATTATTATTACTTTTTAAATCTCACATATAAAAGATCATTCTGTGTCTACCCCTTGCCCTCGGACACATTTCACTGAGCAAGATACTCTCTAGACTCATCCGCGTAGCAGTAAATCGCATAACTTCATCCTTCTTTCTTTTTTCCCCCCTCCCTCTCTTTTTTCTTTTTAACTTTTGAACCTCACCTGGCAGTGCTCCTGGCTTTGTGCTTAGGGATCCCTCCTGAGCACCACAGTGGGTTTGGGGGACCATTTGGGGTGTGGGGAATTGAACCTGGCACGGTGGTGTGCAAGGCAAGTGCCCTACCTGCTGTGCTGTCTTTCTGGTCCCTTCGTGACTTCATCTTGTCTAACGGATGCATAATATTTCATTACATAGTTGTACCATAGCGTATGTATCCAGTCATCTGGTCTTGGGAATCTGGTCTGTTTCCAGTTTTGGCTATTGAAGTTCACTGAGTTTTCTTTTGCTCAGCCTTGTCTGTGCTGTTGATGCACCCAATGGGTAACTATAATCTTTTAACACTGGGTGTTAAGTTTGTTTAATTGAATCACCACGAGGCACACAGTTACAAAGCTGTTCATGATTGGGTTTCAGTCATACAGGGTTCCAGTACTTGTTCCTTCATCAGTGTACATTTCTACCACCAATGTCCCCAGATACCCTCCTGCCACCCCCATGCCCCACCCCAGAGTGTCTCTCTGGCAGGCTCTTCTTCTCTTCTCTTCTCCTTCTCTTCTCTTCTCTTCTCTTCTCTTCTCTTCTCTTCTCTTCTCTTCTCTTCTCTCTTCTCTTTCTCTTCTCCTCTCCTCTTCTCTCCCCTCCCCTCCTTTCCCCTCCCTCCCCTCTCCTCCTCTCCTCCTCTCCTCCTCTCCTTTTCTCCTCTCCCTCCCTCCCTCCCTCCCTCCCTCCCTCCCTCCCTCCCTCCCTCCCTCCCTTTTCCTCCTTTCCTTTTCTCCTCTCCCTCCCTCCCTCCCTCCCCTCTCCTTCTCTCCTTTTCTCCCCTCCCTCCCTCCCTCCCCTTTCCTCCTCTCCTTTTCTCCCCTCCCTCCCTCCCTCCCTCCCTCCCCTCTCCTCCTCTCCTTTTCTCCCCTCCCTCCCTCCCTCCCTCCCCTATCCTCCTCTCCTTTTCTCCTCTCCCTCCCTCCCTTCTTCCCATCCTCCCTTCCTCCCCCCTTCCTCCCTTCCATCCTTCCTCCCCCCTCCCTCCCTTCCTCTCTCCCTCCCTTCCTTCCTCCCTCCCTCCCTCCCTCCCTCCCTCCCTCCCTCCCTCCCTCCCTCCCTCCCTCTCTCCCTTCCTCCCTCCCTTCCTCACCCCCCCCCTTTTGGGCATTATGTTTTCCAATACAGGTACTGACAGGTTATCATGTATATCCTTTTACCTCTTTCAGCACCCAGATCTTGTCCAGAGTGATCATTTTCAACTATTGCTGTCATAGCGGTCTCTTCTCTGCCCCAACTGCCTCCCTTCACCATCACCACCACTTGTGGTAAGCTTCCCACCATGGATAGGCCTCCTGGGTCTCATTCCTGCTGCCCTTGGGTGTTAGTCTCATACTCTTTTTATTTCCCAAAAATGAGTGCACTCAATTTATGTCTGTCCTTCCCTCTCTGACTCATTTCACTCAGCACGATACTCTCCATGTCCATTAATTTATAAGAAAATTTCATGACTTCATTCTTCTTAATAGCTACGTAGTATTCCGTTGTGTAGATGCATTGTGTAGATAGTTTCTTGATCTAGTCATCTGTTCTTGGGCAGTTGGGTTGTTTCCAGATTCTGGCAATTGTGAATAGTGCCACAATGAACATAGAAGTATAGGCGGCATTTCTGCTGTGTGTTTTTGGGTCCCCAGGGTACATTTACATTGAGTCTCTGAACTTTGTCATGTACTTTGGACTCTGTGGTTTCCATCTCTGTGTGGAGAGTCTCCTGTTCATGAAGGAAGTGTCTTTCTTGGGAACCATGGGTGACTCTCTGAGAGACCCAGCATCGGGGTCCCTGCTGTTTCTTGTTCTTGTAGTTGCTTTTCACTCTTGACAACAAGTTCATTTCTTACTTGCATAGTTTGGTGTGCCTTGTGGTGATTTATTAGATTTATCATGCTCTGAACAGTTTTTTTTTGTGTGTGTGTGTGTGTGTGTACCTTTATCTCAAGAGTGGGAGGGGTGCAGTGTTTTTGCTCATAGGGATCCTATCATATTATAGACTCTTGAAGCCTCAATCTTGTTTTAAGCAAAATGTGAACAAGCCAAAAAGCAAAAAGCATGTAAGGTATAAATGTAAACCAACATTACCAATTATGTGATGATAAATCCTAGGGCTCATAATTAATAAGGACATTGGTTTATACAGAACTATTCTCCTTCTCCCTCAAAGATGACATCTCTTTTCCTGCTCACGAGGAAAAAATGATCTCATTAAAAAAATCGAGTGTAAAAATATTTAATGAAGGACATCCAATGACTCCACACAATAAGGGTCCGACTACAGTTGTGCGGTTCTAAATGCTTTTAACCAAGAGCACAAACACGGACACGGGTGCCGCTGTATTAAATGTTCAGAAACAAACACTATTTTCGTTACATAGAGTCTAAGGCAATGCCTGTACTGAGATTGGGGTCAGGTCTATGCTGGTCACAGAGAGAGTGAAAGGCATCAAGACAGACAATGATGCTTGCGAGAGCCCTGCGGTTCGGGAAGGGATCTGGAGAGACTCTAGGTGAGGTGGGTGTCCTGGACCAGGGAACGGCACAGCAGCTCCGGCCAGCAGGGACCTGCTAGCTCCTTCCTGTGCCGATGGGTGGGGTCTCTGGGTAGCATCTCCTCCAAATCGGCGACCACATAGGCCACCACGGCCCAGAGCGCTGCGGCCACGTTCATCTCCTTGGGGTTCAGCACCGACATGGTGTCTCCCTGGGAGTGATGGAAGGTGAAGTACTTGGAGAGGTCGTCCAGCAGGCTGGCCCCTGGGGAGACAAGAGGGAGAATTCTGAGGGGGGTCGCTGGCCACATGTTGCTGCAGGGGCCCTTACTGCCTCCCTCCTGCCTGTTCTGACTCTCCAAGTGAGAGGTTGGTCGCCTCTCAGCCAGGACTGGCCCCTGCCGTGACTGGCCCGAGCACGGGGCTGGGAGTTTGCGGGAGTGTGCTTGGAAAGCCTCAGCTGACTCAGGGAAATGGCTCTGGGCTAGGCTGACTGTGCCCCCAGAGCTTGGCACTCCCTGCATGGAACACATGCCTGTGTTCTGAGAATGCAGAGCAGGGAGACGGAGAAAGATGGTGTTAGACAGCAGAGCCCACCCACCGAACAGGTTTAAATTTTTTAAACTTAAATTTTTAAAATTTAAACTTAAATTTTTTATATAAAAATTTTTTTAATAGTGAGACATCATGAGGTACAGTTGCAGACTTACACATTTTTGTGCTTGGGTTTCAGTTATACAATGATCAAATACCCATCCCTCCACCGGTGCCCATTTCCCACCACCACGGATCCCAGTATCCCTCCCACCCCCATCACCCACATCCCACGCTCCCTCTGTGGCAGGGCATTCCCTTTTGTTCTCTCTCTCCTTTTGGGTGTTGTGGTCTGTAAAAGAGGCATTGAGTGGCAATCATGTTTGGTCTATAGTCTACTTTCAGCATGCTTCTCCCGTCCTGGGAGGATCCTTCCAACACCTTTATTTGGTGTTCCCTTCTCTATCTGAGCTCCCTTTTCCCCTGGCATGTATGGCTGGCCTCCAAGCCATGGAGTAAAATTCCTGGCACTAATTTCGGCCGTTCTTGGGTGTTAGTCTCCTATTTTGTTACTTTATGTTCCCCAGATGAATGCAATCTTTCTATGTCTGTCCCTCTCTTTCTGACTCATTTCGCTTAACATGATACTTTCTATGTAGTACCACATGTATGTAAATTTCATGACTTCATCTTTTCTAAGAGCTACATAGTACTCCATTGTGTAGATGTACCAAAGTTTCTTTAACCAGTCATCTGTTCTTGGGCACTCAGGTTTTTTCCAGATTCTGCCTATTGTAAAGAGTGCTGCAATGAACAGACAAGTGCAGATGTCACTTCAACTATACTTTTTTGCCTCTCTGGGATATATTCCCAGGTTTTGAACCATGGCCCATTCCTGGATGCCCTGCCCCTGAGCGGGATGGAGGACCATTAACCTGCTGGTGTTTATATGCAAATGTCCCGGCACTTATGAATCGTGAAAGAGTCATATCTGCAAGACTGCAGGCTGGACCTTCCAGCATATGGAAGAAAGCAAGCCCATCCTCCCGTGCTCACGATTTCCCTCTCGAAGCCCCAATCACATCTTGTGTGGTTCCCTCAGAGCCTCCGATCGAGTCTTGGTGCCACTGGAAAGAAAACTTTCTCCTGGCAGGTGTGGGGGTAGAGCCTCAGGGAACCACTGGGGGCCCTGTGGAGCTCCCGGCCACGGCTGTGGGGGCAGCTGCGGGCAACAGGGCAGTGGGTTACATGGGCGAGCCTTGGCACCCAGACGTGATTCCGGCAGGCCCAGTGCGGGCATGCGCAGGGCAGGCCACAGATGCTGGAGAGGATAAGCATGTAGCCGAGTTTCACTACTTAAAAAAAAATCGATGGGGCTGGAGCAATAGTACAGCGGGGAGGGTGTTTGCCTTGCACACGACCAACCTGGGTTCAATCCCTGCATCCTAGATGGTCTCCTGAGCACCACCAGGAGTAATTCCTGAGTGCAGAACCAGGAGTAAGCCCTGAGAATCGCCGGGTGTGACCCCAAAATCAAAAAATGAAATGAAATGAAATAAAATAAAAGTCGCGTCAGAAGCTGGGCAGGATTAGAAATATAATGTAAGTGGAAATGTAAGTTAGATATTAAGGAATCACATGTACAAGATCCAGAGGAATGATGGGGAGTCCAGGTGAGCCGGTACCCAGTCAGCTCAGGGCCCCCTCAAGCTTGGCGCAGGGTGTCATGTCCTGGGATTCCTCCCTGCGCTCCTCCTGCAGTCAGGGTCCGAGAGCAGGGCTCCCCTCCACCGAGCAGGCCTGTGGGCCTGTGCTTTGGTCCCGAGAGGGCGACAAGCTACTTGGCAAAGGCTGCCAGATAGGAGGGAAGCTCCCCACAGCCCCCCTGTTGCCACCCCCATTCTCTTCAGGAAAGAACAGAGAACAGAAACCCCAGCCTGCTCTGTAAACCATAGGAAGCCAAATGAATCTGGCCACGCACCCCCGTTTTGGAAAAGTAACACGAGCACCCCCCTGGAAATCTTTCTTTATGGCAACAAAGTGCCCCCAATGCACTGGAGGCTCCATCCGCAATGGATGGGACTAGAAATCCCACTCACCCCCACTTTGGAAGACCCCCATAAAGATCAAAGCCCGCAGGGGGGAAAGGTGAAGATGAAGGCGACGGAAAAATATCCTGATGCCCTTTCCTTGCGTTAGTGAGAAGAGCCCTCTCATTCCTGCTCACTGGCAGCGAGGGACAGCCCCTTTTACGGACACTCTGTTAAAGGGATGCAGTTATAATTTCACTTTTTTTTTTTTTTTGCTTTTTGGGTCACACCCGGCGATGCACAGGGGTCACTCCTGGCTCTGTGCTCAGGAATTACCCCTGGCGGGTGCTCAGGGGACCATATGGGATGCTGGGAATCGAACTCGGGTCGGCCGCGTGCAAGGCAAATGCCCTACCCGCTGTGCTATTGCTCTAGCCCCATAATGTCACCTTTTAAGAACCATCCTGGAGCGAGAGGGGTTCCTTCTCCTCCCAGAGGAGCTGAGTTGTGAATTCCCAAAACAGAGGAAATGAGTTGGGGAAGAAAGAGCCAGGGAAAAAAATATGCTTTTAATGCAAACACATTTGCTGCAGGCACAGCCACTCCACGTTGGTCCCTCTGAAAAGGCCCTGGCAGTCCCTTTACAGGGAATCTAGCGGCTGAGATGGAAAGCGAACATTTATTTTTTTTTATATTAAAAAAATTTTTAATAGTGAGACATCATGAGGTACAGTTGCAGACTTACACATTTTTGTGCTTGGGTTTCAATTATACAATGATCAAACACCCATCCCTCCACCGGTGCCCGTTTCCCACCACCACGGATCCCAGTACCCCTCCCACCCCCCTGTCCCCCCATCCCCCCCTGCCTCTGTGGCAGGGCATTCCCTTTTGTTCTCTCTCTCTTATTGGGTGTTGTGGTTTGCAAAAGAGGCAATGGGTGACAATCATGTTTGGTCTATAGTCTACTTTCTGCATGGAAAGTGAACATTTAAAGGCAGCAAAACTCCTCAGTGCTCTGATGGGTGGCTCTCATTAACGCAGTGTTTAGGACAAGCTTGGTAATGAAGAACCAGTGCGTATTCTCTACGGCCAACCCCAAATATAATTACCGTGCATTATATTAACTGCTTCTGTGGGGAGATGAACTGCAATTTACACATTTTTGTGCGGCCTTAAAAGAAAAAGAGAGAAAGAAACAGGCGGGTGATGATAAAGGGAGCTAGTGCTGCTGTCATTAGCTGCTCCATCACTGGTACGTGGTTCCAGAATTACCTCAAGCAGGGTAAATGGTGCTTGAGATTTGCAGCGATAGACCCTGTAATCCTTCCCAGCACAGTTTATAAACAACACCGGGAGTCTTGCTTCTTGGACCCCAAGTCATTTTTCTTCAAGCTTTTAGAATTCTTGACAAAAGATGGCAAGGCAAGCAGGGCGGATGAGAGCGCTAGGAAGCGGCAGTGAGGGAGAGGCCGGGAGGCAGAGCCCGGGGTCAGTCCTGGTGAATTTGATGCATCTGAGAAAGGACCTTCCGGATGGGCTCAGCTGCCTCTGACACACGCAGTGTTCACCTTGTCACCGCAGAGCTTCTGTGGTGTCTGTCACAGGGGGCATTCGGAAAGGACAATAAACCGATTCACCTGACAACCAGGCACCAAGCGCCCGGTGAGGTTCTAAGGAGACAAGGGGTTGTCTCGCTGGCAGCTCTCTGCTCTCCTGAGTGATTCTGGGTGACAGAAGGAAGTTTCCATTTCACAGAGCCTGACTGGGAGCAACGCGGTGGGCCGGGAGGTAAGAGAGGGCGGTCTACACTGCCAGAGACGGTGTGGCTGGAGAGGAAGCAGCCGCTTTCCTCCTGAGACTGGATGTTGTGAAGGTGTGAGAGGATGGCACAGGGTGGCACAGACTGGCCGGGCACGGTGGCCCATGGGAAGATCTCAGAACTAGCCAGGATGCAGGCAGGAGAGCAGAGCTGGCCCTTGAGCCCTTAACGTGCATGGGCTTCCCTGGGCCCAGAGCTCCTTCTAGATCCTTCTCCTCATGGGCAGCTGAGCAGGCGGGGAAGAGGTCTAAGCGAGGGTCTTGAGACCGAAGCTGGGAGTGGATAGTCGGCTCCGAGGGGCATTGTGAGGTGGTCTGAGACTCAGCCCCCCCACCCTGCCCCTCAACCCCCTGCCAACCTTCCATTGTTGCTTTCCGGAAACTCATATAATTTTTTTTTCGGTGGGGGGGTGCCAAACTGGGCAGTGCTCAGGGCTCGGTACTCAGAGATCACACATGCAGTGCCCAGGAGACCTTATGGGGTTCTGGGGATGAAACCCAGGACAGACTCCTGAAAGGCAAGTGCTGTGTTATCATTCTGGCCCCAAGGAACTCAGGCACTTTGAAACTCTGAAACAGGCTCTCAAACCTTTTTCTTTTCTTTTCTTTTCTTTTCTTTTCTTTTCTTTTCTCTTTTCTTTTCTTTTCTCTTTTCTTTTCTTATCTTGTTGCACCTGAAGGTGCTCTGGGCTTACTCCTGGCTCTACACTTAGGGAGCACTCCCAGTGGTGCTCAGGGGGACCCTATGCAGGGCTGGGGATCGAACCTGGGTGGGCCACGTGCAAGATGAGTGCCTGATGCTCTGCCCTATCTCTCTGGTCCTGCTCCCAACCAATTCTATCACTCGGCTGGCTTCTAACTCAACCTCTGAGATGGGGGA